GTGTGTGGGGAGAGGGTGCAGGCTCTGGGAGGGAGTTTGGGGGCTGGAGGTGTGTGAGTAGGGGGTGCAGGCTCAGGGTGCAGGCTCTTGGAGGGAGTTTAGGAGCTGGGGGGGTGTGGGGACGGGATGCAGGCTCTGGGATGGGGTCAGGGGGTGCGGCGCTTACCTGGGGCTCCAAGGTGGGGCAGGCCGGGGGGCCTCCATGCGCTGCTGCCCTCAGGCACCACCCCCACAGCTTCCCATTGGCCGCAGGGGCGCTCAGGGTTGGGACAGCGTGCGGAGGCACAGCCCCGCCCTGTCCCACCCCAGGGCTGCAGGGAGCGGCCAGCAGCCACATGGAGTAGTGCGCAGAAAGCCGCTCAGCTCCGCAGCGCTGCCGGTGGTGGGCGGGGCCCCGGGCCATTTTAAATCTCCCGGGGGATGCGTGGGGGCGGGGGAGCATCCAGGGGCAGCAGGCGGGGCCAAGGGAGAGATCTGGGCCCAAAATTGCTGCAGTCCCGTAGGCCACACAGGGGAGATTCTCAGGCCACAGATGGCCCGCGGGCTGGGACTTTGAGACCCCTGTCTTAGATAAACAAATATTTGTAACTTCTTTAGTCTTAGTAGAAGGCATGTTTTCTAGACTTCGAATAATTCTTGTAGCTTTTTTCTGAACCCTCTCCAATTTTTCCAACGTCCTTTTTGAAGTATGGACACAAAAACTGGACACGGTATCCAGTAATGGTCTCATTAATGCTATATCCAGAAGTAATACCTGTGACACATATGACATATGCAATATCCTGGACAAACCTTATGGAACTAAATTCAACCTTACTGAACTAAGTTAAACCTTATGGAATAAAGTTTTAATACCTTTGGAGTCCATTGTACTGAAAATGCAAATGTTTGTGCACTATGGTGGAATTGCATAGAACTTCTTTCGGAGGAAGGCAGGATTAATGCAACTTCTGGGAGATATAAGGAACATCAAAGGACTTTTGGGGACAATGTGTGTGCAGTGGATTTCCTAGGAAATACATGGGGATGAAGGGAATGCAAATGACCCATCTCAGATCTGACTTTTTTAAGCTGCATTTTGAGCAGAGACCCATTGTTTGGCTGATTACCGATTAGTCTTTTCAAAGACCCAAACTGGATAAATGAGTGAGTCTCTTGGGAGTTCTTGTTCAGAGCAAAGGGTGTGATGAACTTGAAATCACAGGAAAACTGCTGGGTGGAGGCTGAAGGACTGCTCCATCTAGAGTCGGTGTTGCAGTTAGGACAATCTCTGATAAGCTTATTAGTAGGTATATAGGTTCTTTTATTGTTTTTAATATGTTTTCTCTGTATTGCTTTTACCTTAAGAATAAAATGTGCTTGCTTAGGAGGAGCGCTGTGGTAGCTTAACTGTGGTAACTACACTGTTAAACATCTCTGAAGAGAAGGCAAAAGAAGCCTACTTAGGCAGCCTGTCTTTTGCTGGGGATATCACGGGATGGACTATGCAGCGTGGAAATATCCTGGTCAGAGGGGGGAGAGAGAGAGAGAGAGAGAGAGAGAGAGAGTGTCTTCACCCAAGAGAGCCAATGGACAGGGAGTTATAAACCTAAAGTGGGTGCCCTTGCTGGATCACAGAGGGGGAATATAGGTGCAGTTGCCCTGAATTGTGACAATACCATCTCCCTACTCCCACTTCGTAGTCTCCTTCTTATACATTGAAGGATTGTATTCATCATCTTAGCTACAGCATCACACTGGGAGCTCATGTTATCCTGTGACCCCTAAGTCCTTTTCAGAGTCACTCTTTTAAGTGACTTCGACTAAGTCCCATTGAAAGTCAATGGGAATGCAGCTCCTTAATGAAGTAGAGGGATTTAACAATATTTGATATACATGCTTCCAAAAAAAATAAAATAAAAAATAAAATCTCCTGCTTGTTTCTGCTGCTAGAACTGTAGCAAACTTTGAATGGAGCCTGGTGTGATAATGAGATCTTCCATTATCTGATGTGATGGAGTATGACATCTGCTCACAGCTTGCGGGCACAGGTTGAATCAAAACACTGCAATGTCATGCTCTGCATGAAGTTTTAAATGCACAGCTCGTGGGACTGGGAAATAAGATTCTGTAGATGTCCAGTTACATTTAGACACGTGATTAGTAACACAGCTGGGTGTGGTTCGGTCACAGGGAAGGTACAATTTAAAAACCAGTAGAGAATCAGACCCACATGCCTTGCACATTGTGCACTCTAACACTTGTGCCAAAAATTCCTACTCTTATTTAGCAGCATTTTACAGCGTATTTAGTATCATTCTGCACACAAGTAAGGAACAAGATGGAGAGTCAGGCCCTTTTTTTTTTTTTTTTTTTTGGGTGGTTAGATGGCCCCCATTGCTGTAGTATCTGCGCACATCACACTCAATAGATTTATCCTCAGCCCTTGAGGTAGGCAAGAGCTATTCTCCTCATTTTATAGAGGGAGAATTGAGGCACAGAGAAGCTAAGTGGCTTGCCCCAGGTCACACAAAATCTAGGGCAGAACACGGTCTTGAACCCAGGTCTCCTAGATCCTGTGTTAATGCCCTAACTACCTGACCATCCTTCCTCTCGCAGGCCTGTTGTGAAGACCTCATCTTGGCCAACAACTGGTGATTGAACTGGAGACCACCACCGCTAAAAGCATGAGTCTCTAGCATTTGTGCTAAAGAGGCAGGTTCTGTAGCTGTGGGCTAATAAAGAATAGGCTTGGGGTGGGGAAAGGGAATGGGTGACCCTGTGTGTTAACGCACTAGTCTTTCACCAGTGGAGATTGGGGAAGTTTAAATGTGTTTGGTGGTTTTAACTTAGCCCCTAGTCAACATATTGTCCAGATGAGAAAAAACACCCTAGTCTGTGCTCAGAAGAGAGCCAGAAATGGTATTTCAAGGGTAGATAGCTGCATTTCAGAATACAGGGACACTGGCAGAGCTGCTTGCTGGGATAGAACAGACTGGTGCAGATCAGGACTGAGGTGCATTGGCAGAGCTGGGGAGGGAAGAACGTAGACTATACAAGTAAGCATTGCTCTCACCAGAACTATTGGCCTCCCTCTGTGGGAAGCACCTACTCCCCTCAAGTGTTTCAATTGTCAAAAACAGAATTTTCAATTTGTTTTAATGAGAATTCAGAATAACTACTTCACTCTTCAGGGTTTCTACACTGCTTAGTCATTGCAGCAACTCAGCTCACAGAAACTGGCCTCCGTCCAGATCAGTTTAACTGTCAGGACAAAAACATGATAGTTCAGTTCAAGACTGCCCAGAGAGCAAGCACAAATTCTGGATAATCAGCCTGGTTTCATTCCCCATTGGTAAGAACGTCAGTAGACAAGGAGGTACCTAGAAAGGCATCAGTGCATTTGCAGTTCCTCTGCCATGCAGTAAGACCACAGATCAAGATTCTATGCTTTTTTTTTTATTCAAGTGCCCCAGATATATCATGATCCTGAAATTAGTCAAGTTTAGGGATTTCTAAGGTGCCTAACACATGGTATCTTAAATTCCAGCTTCCAATGAAGTCATTCAACACTTGGGTAATATGAAAGTGCAGAGAAGGTGCTAACCCTCCAATTAAAGACTAACAATTCTGTAAAGTTTATATTAAAATAGCTTATAAAAAGTTTTAAATTCCAGGTTTTCCAAGTAGAAATGCCACAAAATACGTAACTGTCACGTCACGATGCAGCTGATATTTGCCAAGGCGACAACACAGAATTCTCATGCCAAATTTCTACCTAAATTAAATATAGGAAATTTATTTTATAAAGTACCCTGGTTAGATGATCTGATAAAGAACTAGAGCAACACATACAGCATTTTATATCTGCAAAGTGCTTTACATAATTAGTTAATTAAGCCTTAGGGCATTTAAATTAATGGATTTTAAGGCCAGAAGGGACCATTAGATCATCTAGTCTGACCTCCTGTAGAAGATAGGCCAGAGTATTTCCCCCTTCACCCCTGTATTGAGCCCAGTGACTTATGTCTGACTAAAGCAGGGGTAGGCAACCTTTCAGAAGTGGTGTGCTGAGTCTTAATTTATTCACTTTAATTTAAGGTTTCGCGTGCCGGAAATACAGTTTAACGTTTTTAGAAGGTCACTCTCTATAAGTCTATATTATATAACTAAACTATTGTTGTATGTAAAGTAAACAAGGTTTTCAAAATGTTTAAGAAGCTTCATTTAAAATTAAATTAAAATGCTGATCTTACACCGCCAGCCCGCTCAGCCCGCTTCCAGCCTGGGGTTCTGTTCACCTAGGCCTGCAGCGGGCGGAGCGGGGCCTGCGGCCGGGACGCCGGCTGGCAAGGGGCCAGCAGCCAGGACCCCAGACCTGGGGCGGGGTTCAGGGGTCAGGGCAGAGGGCTGGGGGTGTGTGGGGGGTGCAGGGCAGAAGGCTGTGGGGAGTGCAGGGCAGAAGGCTGTGGGGGGGGG